GAGCTCATTGGCACAGGATGCTCCAAGTGCCAAAACAGAAATGTGTTCAGCAAGTGATTAGGCAGATTGAGAGTGAGGACTGGCCACACCAACCAGTGCCTCCACAAGTTTCTCAGCAGGCTGACAGGAGACTAAAGCAGCAGCAGAATTGCTCTGTAGGTGCCCCTTCAATGCTGTCCCTCGTGATTTTGGGAGAGGTGAACTCTGGCTCTGGGTTAGTCAGACTGCTCTCATGTTCTCCCAGTTCCTGCAGTGCTGTGCCAACACATGTGCTGCTGTGAGTAAAACACAACACAGGGACTGCCAAAGCAATCACACTCTGAAAAAAATGTGGTATTTTCTGTGTTGTACAAAAGGGGTTTCCTGTGCTGGGGAAGACCTGCCCATTTGCCTTTGTGTCTTTTATTCTGCTCAGGAGTGGAGCCTTCCTCTCTCACTGCTTTCCCATGTACAAACAAGTGATTAAGCAGAGGACCTGACCTCTCCAGGTCCATCAGTTGCAGTCAGTTACTTCATGACCTCAAAATTGCAACATCAACTTGAAATTAAATCAAATGCCTTTATTACTTGCACCATAGAGGAAATGTCTTCAAACTACCAGAACCAACTAGGGGAATTTTCAAGAGGGAAATCTTTATTCACACCCTTTCAAAGTGGAAGTTGTATTAAGATATGATCATGCTGTTGCTTTGTTTTGCAGAATCTCTCTCTCTCTCTCTCTCTCTCTATATATATATATATATATATATATATATTAAACAAGCTTCTTCTCTTCCCCTGTCTTGCTGTCACTGCCTAAAGTGCAGCCAGGAACTCTCCAGCTCACAGAGGTGCCTGTTGTGCAGGGCTGGTACAGCTGGGAGGGAGGCCCTGCTTGCAGCCTTGTCCCTGTGTAGCTGGATGAGCTGCCCCCAGGACAATCCAGCCTCCAGAGGCAAATTCTGGTGGGGAGGATGAGCAGGAGGAGAAAGTTCCAGTGCTCTGAGTGGGAGGCAGAGCTGGCCAGGAGGTGCTGAGCCCCCAGAGAGCTGTTAAAGGCACATCTGTTCTGGAGCAGCCTGTCACAGTCTGTGTCCAGGGTGCTTGGGCAATGCCCAGCTCCTCTGCCAGCTTCCAGCACAGGACCCTTCCCCATTTCCCAAGGGGAGCAGCACGTCCAGTGCTGGGGGCTCCCCCACTCTTCCTGCACTGCCCAGATGGTTCTCCTGAAGGGTGAGGACTCTGACTTGTAAGGTCTCAACCAACAAACACATCCTTCTGGATCCCTTCTGTGCACAGCCATGGTTGGGCTTTGGCTGTTGCGTGTTCCTGAGGAGAGGGAAGCTGCAGCTGGTGGGAGGGGTGCTCACTTGCTGCTGCTCCAGAGGGCTGCCCCTGCTCCAGGGCTACACCAGCTGCATTCCAGATCCCGTTTTTCTGGAGCTAACACCTCTCCAAATTTGGCATTATAAGTCCTGAAGCAGCCAAGTGTGACAGTCTGCATTTGTCACCGTCCCCAGATGAACAGCTCTCTGCCAGTGGATTCTGCAGAGCCTCTCATCATTAGAGCTGTCTCCTTGCACACAGATGGCTGCAGTGTGACATCCCCAGTGGGACCAGCACAGCCAGAGGGGCTTGCTCAGCCTGCAGGGCTGTGTCTGCCTCCAGCCTGGTGCTGTGAGTGCACAAGTGCAGCCTCACACCCTGCAGATGGATGTGCTGACAGCAGGCACCTCTGCTGAGGTCTGGGGGGAGGCAATGCCCTGTGTGAGCCCCAGCAGGAAGCCGTGCTGCAGAGGCACCCATGCAGCAGGGGCAGTGCACAGCAGCACTGCTGCCCTGCTCCCCTGCACACAGCTGTGCCTGGGAGAGTGTCAGGAGAGCAGCTGGGTGCTGCCAGCCAGAGCAGCCAGCCCTGCAGTGCTGGGAGCTCCCCGCTGCCCAGGAGCTGTGCAGGGCAGTGCTGGCACTGGGGAGCAGGGCTGCTCACAGGCTGTGCATGTGAGACACTGCTGGACTGTGAACAGCACCTGGCTCTCAGGAGCTGCCCAAACAGGAACCAGGTGTGCTCAAGGACATTTTGGGCAGGATCTGGAGACTCAGGTCAGTTTGTCTGGAACTTCCTGCTGAGCACTCATCAAGTCAGAGGCCGTGACACAAGCCAGGAAGCTGTGTCACCCTGTGACCTGGGTGCTGGTGGCTGTGGGTTGTGGGTTGGTTCTGACTCTCACCCCGCTATTGGAGCTGTTTGAGCCTGTGAGGGGCACTCCTGAAAGCACTCAGGAAATCCTTTCTATATGAAGCCACTAAGGCTCTAATTTTACTTTATGTAATAACTCTTCCTTTAAAAAACATGTGAATTTTTTTTCTTGTTGCTGTTAGAGGGGAAGAGATCTGCCTGGCCTTGAGTTAATGCTTTTTCCTTCTCAAATCCACTTTTTTCCAGAGGCTGTCACCAAAACACATTGTGTTTATGATTTTAAAAGAGGAGAGGCTGGCCTTGCTGCCCGGGGCAGCCTGGGCAGCAGGATCACAGGGAGCAGGGTGGCTGCCAGCAGCACATGCTCTGCCCCACGTGTGTGCAACAGAAGGTGCTGCACGATGGAGCTTTGCTGAAGGAAAACCTTTTCTCTAGCTGCCCTCCTCCTCTTTCTCTCTCTTCCCTACAGGAACAGGCTGGGAGGTTGTGTAGCTCAGCTGGGCTGTGAACCTCAAGGTTTACAGAAAACCTGCTCCTTGCTTCTTTGCATTTCTGGCCCTCACTGGAGCTGAAGTCAAATGCCAGCTTTGGTGTTGCTGGGGGTTCACCAGCACTTCACAGCACCTCCTCTCCTCTGCCTGCAGCACAGGACCCCAGCAGTGGCTGTGTTTGGAGGTTTTATGAACCAGCTCACAGGCAGGAGAGGCTCCTCCCTGCATGGCACTGGGGTTGTGCCTGTGAGAGGTACCATAAAGCAGAGCAGGCTGGGTGCTGCCCTGCAGTGCTGTGCCCCTGGTGTGCAGCCTGGGCTCCTGTCCTGGGCCCTGGACACCATCTCCAGCACACAGGCCTTGGACAAGGGTTTCTGTTCTGTGTCCACCATAGATGGGACAGCAGTGCAACATCTCCTTCCTGCCAGCACCATCCTTAAAGGCCCATGGGCTGCAGCAGAAAGGGTGGGAAACAGAAGCCTGTGCTTTTCATTGGAGACACCACTTTGCAGCTCAGAAGCAGCTGGGACCGTGGGTACTCCTCAGTTCCTCCCCCTAATCAAAAACCCAGGCAGAGCAAGGAACATGAGAAACTGCCTTGCAGCAGTGAGTTGGAGGAGGCTGTGAGCTGTGGCAGAGCCAGAAATCCAGCTTGGATAGAAACTGAGTGTCTGAGTAACTGGGAGCAAGCCTTGGAGCAGCTGGCTCACCTCTCCCTCCTGAGCGCTCGTGAATGCTGAGTCAGCACGTGCTGGGAGCTGGGGTGTGCCTGAGCTGTGCCTTGGGACAGCAAACACAGCTTTCCTGCAACCTTTTTCATCCTTTATTTGCAAAGCTCCCCATTACCTTCTCTTTAGCTTTCCTAACTGGCTGCTGCACCAGTGCCATCCTCTTCCTCCCTTTGTAACCCGCTCTGGAGAGGATGGTGTGCAGTGGGGACACCCTCACCCTGCTGTGCCCTTTGGGTGTGACACCTTCAGGCAGGGGTTGAGCAAGGAACCTCTTCTGGCACATGACCCCAGAGCTGATGTCTGGGAGCCCTTCAGGAGCAGGCTGTGACCCCACAACCCCTCCAGCCTGCAGATGTTCCCCAAGGAGAGCACTAGAGCCCTTCCTGGCCACGTGGGGCTGCAAACTGAAATGGATCTCTGCTAAGGGCTTTATTGAGCTAAAATAGAGAGAGCACAAACCATCAGGAAATGCCCTATTAATGCACTGGAGATAGAATCAGGCTGGAAAACTCCAGGCTGGACTGTAACAGCACACAGCCTGTGATTTAAAACCCATGTGTTCAGCAGGCCAGAAGCCAGGAGCCCCAGGCTCTAATCCCAGTGCTGAGTTCCACAACAGAACTTCAGGAAGTGGGGGAGAGGCTTTGTTTAAATTTCCCCATGTTTTCCTGGGCAGAATCCTTTTACCATAGGCATTAAAAGTTTAAGAATTGCTTGGTTTCTTGGGGCTTGCAGTTGGTGGAAGATGTATGCATTTCCCCAGAAGCCATCAGCAACATGCATCAGAAAAAAGGGCTGAGTTGTTTTTGGTGGTTTGTTCTGATTTTTTTTCCCCTGCTGTGATTAAGAAAAGCTTTTGCTCACCAAGAAGGCATTCTTTAGAGGAGTGCCTGTCCCTCATTAGAGCATAAAAGCAGTTCATAGGTCTTTTGGGGCTGGCAGTAGTAAGACCTTCGAACACACAAGTAAGCTGATCTCTAACTGAACTAAGGATTAGGTTCCAAACTGCACTGCGTTTCTGATTGGATGCACACTCAGCAGCTGGGCTATTTTTGGCTCGTGAGCCACTCTAATGGCTGTTTATTTTTAAGGTCATTTTCTGTTTGCATAGGATGTACACCCTTCTGGTGGGTGGGAGGCATTGTAAAAACAATCACTGCTGTGCAGAGCTAGGAACTAAGTCTGGAGAGGGATGGAAAAAACAGAACTCAGTGTACTTATTGCTTTAAAGCCCCAAAACATCTGCTTAGGTCATAAGGTTTGCTGGCCCACTCTGAGCTGTGTCCCCAGTGGAAAAAGACTGTTCCAGTTGATGCAGACTACTGCAGGGATTGCAGGAGACCTGGGAAAGCCTGTCAGACAACAACAGCGTATGAATAGAAAGGAAGCATCAGATTGATGCCCTTACCTTCAAGGAGTAAATAGAAACCAGAGGAGTCTCCCCACAGCAGAGGAGTCACCACTTGTGCTGGGCTGGCCAGGCCTGGGTCCCAGCTCTTGTTAAAACCCTTGTTCAATAATAACATCCTTTATTGTGCTCTTTTCCTGGCTCCTTCCTGTTGGCAGTATCTTTATTCACACACAGTCAAGTGATACAAATTCACTGGAACAGTAGCAGTTTATAAAAGAGAGGAGTAAGAATAATTATCTTGAACTGAAATTTAAGAAAACACATGGCCACCTGTCAAGCAATGCTCTGCTTGTGACAGCTCATGGTAAGGAAACATTTTACAACATTGGCAGTGTATTCCCAGTCATGCTGCTTTTCCAGACCACAAAATACACAATTCAAATATATACTAAAAGTAATAATGGAGTTTGTAGAAATGCCTGCTGCAAAACAATTGCTGTTGTCTGATTTCCTCTATATTTACTCCCTTGCTACATTATGATAGAATACTGGAATAAACACAGTTTATTTCTAACTGAATTTGAACTTAAAAGTTGATCTCAAGTAAACTGGAAAGTCTTTGGCTCCCATCCTTGAAGTACATGAAGGACCTTAACTTTGGACTTGTGAGGCTGATAAGGCAGGAGGTGAGCCCACAAGTGAGAATCTGATGCCTTGGGCAGCAGCACAGGAGGGAAGGGGAAGCTGAAGTGCTGTACTTCACAGGATCTTAATTTGGGCTTTCCCTGGATTTTTACAGACTTTTATCAAGTCTTCCCTGGGCTGTCCTTTTACCTGATAGGCTTGAGATTTCAAGTTTCTAGTAATCTGGTATAACTGCCTGTGTTTGAGATCTGGGCTCTGCACTCAGTTGAGTGAACTGCAGCACCTCTCTCCCTCCATATTTCACTGCTCAGGGTCATTTTCCTGTCTCTTTGCCCTCCCCTCCCTCCTCCTGGCATGGCCTCTTTCCATGTGAGAGAGCTGGATGCTCCATGCTTTGCTGAGGCTCACGCTGAGCCCCACACAAGCTCCCTGCATTCCAAGTACCATTCTCTGAGTGTTTCCAGCCTTGAGAACACATGGAATCCAGTGCTGGCTGTACTATACAGGGATGAGCAGCTACTCCCTCAGGCTGGCATGCCTGCAGTGAGAATCTCAGAATGCTCATGGAAAGGGACATCCAGAGTGGCCCTTGCTGTGACAGAGGAACACACGGTGAGCAGGCCAATGTGTTCAACTCTGAGATTTCATGCTCCTTTTCCTCCCAAGAGCCAATCTCAAACCATTTCAAACAAGAGATGTTTTAGCAGAGATGAAGAATAAGGCACTGAAGGTGAGCTCATTTGGCCAAGACTGATCCACAGGGCACTGCCCCAGTCCTCAATGCTCTTCACTGAGCTGTTGTCTCTGTGCTCACATCGTATGAGACACTCTCAGAGGGGAAACATTGTCTCAGCTCTCACAGCACACACAGGGGCCAGGACCCACCTGCCTAGGCACGGCCTTCAGAGAAACCATCGAGAAGGACACTGGAGGCCAGAGGTTGGCTTCCCAGTGTATAAACACCATAGCTCCCAGAGAGGTCAGCTGTGGAAAGATGACCAGGATACCTGTGAGGTATAAAACTCTGAGTCAGCTGGCCAATGCTCAGCCCTGTCATCGTCAGACTTGTCGCTCTCATCGCCGCTGGAGGGCTCATAGCCCTGCATGGCAGAGGGGATGGGCTCCGTCTCCCTCCGATCCGCCTCTGCCTCCTTCTTCTTCTCGGCCAGCAGCTGCCTGTAGCACAGGTTGCAGACCCTCAGGGGCTTGGGGGACAGCCTGGGCATCAGGAACCTCTGGCGGGAGCAGTCGGCGCACACGACGAAGCCGCACTTGCGGCAGTGGTGCCTGCGGGTGAGCGTGGAGAACTTGGTGTGCGTGCAGCGCATGCAGATGTCCGTGGCCTTGTCAGGGATCCAGGGCGCCGCGGGCTCCCTGCACGGCTCCCGGCCCGTCTTGCTCAGCAGGTGCTTGATGCACTCCTCCAGGTGGCTGATCCACTCCTTCCTCTCCGTCAGGGACGCTGCCGACACCACAAAGGACTTCTTGGAGGTTTTGATCATCCAGCGGTTCTTCATCTGCAGGGTGTCTGGCAGCGTCTCCAGAGTGACGTCTTCAAGGGGGATGATGTGCTGGGAGTTGTACTTCCTTTTGTTGAGGATGATGCTGCCATAGACCAGGATGTCGTTGAAGAGGAAAAAGATGCGAGGCTTTGGCTTCTTGCGGCATTCCTTGGTTAAAATCCCTTCTCCCAGGAGCACCCTGCCCGGCAAGGCCAAGGGCTGCCCAGAAGCCCCAAAGCAGCTCTCCACAGCAGCGATGCGCTGGCTGTTGATCTCCGTGTTTGCAAGGTGGTCCATCATGTCCAGCTCCCTCTGCAGAGAGGAAAACAAAGAGGGAAGAGGTGAAACTGCAGACACCTGCACCAGGGTGAGGGTGAGTAGCCAGTGGATGCACAGGTGAGATGCTCCTGATGCAATCTGAGGCTACAGGTGATCTTCTGAGCACTGCTGGCTTTAGTTTGTTACCTTTCTAAATAAAATCTTCAAACTTTCTGACCTCATTTTGCAACAGCCCAAGCTATACTGAGAAAGTTCAATATACACCAATGGAAGCACTTGAAGGCAGAGCCAGGTCTTCCTGGTTGCGCTTTTTACCAGTTTCCCTGTGTCCCCTTAGAAAAAAAAGCTGCTTGATCTGAGCCTGATTTTATGCAGATCCATAGATCCACATCTGCTTTCTCAAGGATTGCTTACAGACACACACCTCCCACAGCTCCATTTTGGGCCTGAGCTGAGGCAGGAGCAAAAGAAAACTCTGTGGTATCACCTCTTCCATGCATAGACAAAAAAGGTAAAAAAAGAAATTTAAAAAGCCCCCATGATGTGAATAAACCCACAGAAGTTCAGCCTTTCCTCTGTTATCCCAGGACTGACAGTGCTTCCAAATGCGAGACACATCATTCTGAAAACAGTCACCTCTGCTGAAGGGGAAGTGGAATGCAGCACACTCATCTCTCCCACACCTCTGCACCCTCCTTCTCACTCAGTCTGGGGTTTGACACTGTGCTGTGCTTTGTTCTAGCAGGAAACCCAGGTAAGGGTAACCCTGAAGTGAAAGCAGCTGCTGGCTCTTGGCAGGCTGCGCTAAGGGAGGTGCTCCCTGGCAGAGGATTTTCTCCTTGCCCCTTGCAGGCTGGAGGGTGCTGCCCAAGGCCAGCTGGCCATGGCAGTGTGAGTCATTTCCTCCTGCACAGAGGTAGCTCAGCCATCACAAGGCAGCTCCAAGATCACAGGGCCATGTGCTGTTAGCCTGGTTGCTGCTGCTGGCTGATGGAAGCACTCGTGCAGAGCTGCTCTCCACTGCTATCCCTGTGCTCCTTGCCCAGAGTCCCTGCTGCCAAGGAGGCTGGAGGGAAGAGGAGGATGACAACATGCCTGGTCCCATGTGTGTGGGACATTCTACCCTTGCTCCTCACCCCAGTCACCCCTTTGCTGTGCTGGAAGGGAAACCACAGAGCTGCTGCACACCATGCACCTCTCAGTTGACCCATCTGGCAGGCAGACTGGGCAATTCCTCTGGGTTCCCAGAGCTTCCCTCTCTGGGGTGAAAAGGCACAAGGTTCAGCTACGGCAGACCTATCTGGAGCAATCCAGCCTGCAGGAACAGCTTTCACTGAGTGCTGAGTGCTCCTAAGAGCTGCCTTCCTCAGGGTCCCCCTCGAGCTGCAGGGGAAAAGTGAATCCTCAGGGCCTCAAAGCCCTGGAGTGCACTGGGTGGGGCTGGGCACTGCTGGGCACATCCACTCACTTCACATGCCCTGAGTGCTCTGGCCAGGCTGCAGCCAGAGCGGGAATCCAGGGCTGCCTGCAGCAGCAGGGGCTGCCAGCACTCCCCAGCCAACCTGCCATGGCACAGATCTGCAGCAGCTGGGCCAAGGCTCTGTCCCTTGTCATCAGAGAGCAGAGAGCCTCCATTCCCAGCGTGGCTCCATCAGCCTGAGTGCATCTGTGTAGGGACAGGAGATGTCCTGCTGCAATAAGCACCAGGTATTTTCACCCTGTCCCTCTCAAATACACAAATGAGGCTGAAGAGCACACAGGCAGGGCAAACTGCTGTCCACAAACTCTCTGACTAGGGCTACCCAGACACCCACCTATCCTGGGATGTGATCTCTCCACAGATCCCTGGATGAGGAGTTTCTGTGTGAAAGAGCAAGATGAGCACACAAATAATAAAGGAAAAACTCAAATTACAGCTTGGGATCCTTGGTGTGCAAAGACTGTGAATGCAATAATATACTGTCAAGAACTTTGGGCACCAGCTACACCAAATGGGATAAACCAAAGCAGTCCCACCAGTTTCCTTGTGCTGCTGGGTTATGGAGCTCTTAGCCTGCCTCTTTCATTTTATGTAGTTTAGAAGCATGGCCCAACCTCTCAAGAACTTATGGTACTTGACATGTCTCTATTTCTAAAGATCTCTGCACACAGATTCCAGTGGAAATGAAAATATTTTGTCAGATATAGAGACCCTGCCTGCACAGAGTCAGGAAATCTGAGCTCCTTTCCAAAGAGGAGTGTAAGCTGTGCTGCTGTGAAAGCTTTAGCTGTTCCACTGAGCTGGGTACCTCTTGGACTTACTGCATGGAGCAAAAGGAGAAAGGGCTGGACACAATCCTGTAGTGTGAAAAAAACAAAGGTGAGCTCTCATTACACATCAGACTTCTACCTGCAGCTATGTCCCTACTCCTCCACCCTCTGGTTTGCTGCCTAGTTAAAATACCATGAGTTAACCTAAGAAAAGCCAACTCTGTTGTGGGAAAAACTCTTCTAAGACTAAAACTGTTGGTTGCTCTAGCCCAGGGTATTTCTTCAAGGAGTTTTCGTGGGATGTAAAAGCAGAATGTTTTCCTCCCATCTCTCTCCACCTCAGGCAGAAGTGACTGGAGAACAGCACATACACATAACAAAAAGTTAAAAAAAATAAAATGGTGGGAGTGGGAATCACAGTGCCTACCTTTAGGCTTGGACAATTCACTCTGTGTTATTCCTGTTCAGGTAGGGGGGCAGAAACAGCCATCTGGAGGGCTGACTCATCACATCCCACCACAAGCCAGATCCATCCTGCCCTGAGTTCCACACAGAGCTCAGCCTGACTGACCACATAAATCCCAATTTCATGTTAATACTGTGACTCACTGCAAATAATCCACAGTTTGGCTTTGGAATGCAGGCACTTTGTGAGCCTGGTAAATAAAGATAGCTGCTGAGTGTTACTATGGTCTGCTTTCCTGGGAGATGAGAGCCTCTCCCTTTGGAACAAAGTGAGGGTATGAAGTCTAATCTACTTTATTCATTTTGGTAAATTATTTTTTTTTCCTGTTTGCTTAAGTTTGCTGTGTCAGTTCAGCACAGTCACAGTGCTTATTAGCAAGTCCTACATGTGCCCAGGTACCACATGCAGCAGCAGCAGCTTACCCAGCTGAAATTAAGGTGGCAAGATGTGTTTTTCTGGCATGCTGCTTTTCACAGAAGTTTCTGGCATGGCAAATTCTGGGGTTGTTTTTTCCATCAGGATCTGCTGGGTCTGCATGTGATCAAATACTGTGCAGTGAACATGACTGATGTTCAAAGGAAAAGAACCACAGCTTGGCACTCCCCTCCAGAAGTAAGCACGCCACAACACTTAACAATGCGGGCTTGTTCACTTGTGATTATAAACAGCCCTGTTGATGCCTGCCAGGCACAGCATTTCAGCTTCAGTTCACGGGTCAGCAAGTCTGGGGTATGTTTTTCAAGTCTGTATGTACCTAAGGCTTAGGTGTACCGATGCAGAGAGCTGTTCCACCTGATCCTTTCATTCCTGCCATCAGGCAGAGCTGACAGCCCTGGTATCCACTGCATACCTCATGCATACCACACATGGGATGGTCCATGACACCCAGATCTCACTGCTGAGGGCTGCCAGTAGAAAATGCCCCGAGTCTCATCTCTCTGCAGCTTTTCCTGAATCCCTCTTTCTGCCTTGCTCTGAGAAATCTCTCCAGGAGTTAGGGCTGGCATAAGCTCTTGCTCACCAAGGGGCAAGTAGGATGCAGCTGCCGGAGCAGGCATTTAGAGCAAGAAGAACAAAGTTCCTCTCCTTTTCCTGCCGGAGGGCATTTCAGCTCGCTTCTCCCTCTCTCCCGGCACGCTGTAACTGCTGAGGTAAGGAGGACAGGCTCTGGTAAGCCCCTTCCTGCCGTGCTTACGAGGAACCCAACTCAGCACATGCACATTTTGGGGCTGGCTGTCACGGGGGGCCTTTAGGAATGTGACAGTCCCGGTGGGACAGGGACTGACCGAGCTGCCAAGCGTCTCGCCACTGCTGCTCAGCAGGGCCAGAGCAAGGGGACGGCCGGGCAGGGCTTGAGGAGCTCAGGCTGATGCTACCGAACCCGCTGCTGGCAGCCTGAGCTCAGCTGCCGCTCTTGCAAGTGCCAGCCAGGCTCAGAGGCGCCCAAGCAGCGGAGGAAGGGCAGGAAGGGAGGGAGGAAGGGGGAAAACCACGAAACTCACGGCAGAGTCTTACCCCGTCCGCGCCCCGCTCCCTGTCCCCGCACTCATCCCGAGGCTCTCCGGACTCGTGACCAAGAACACACACGGGCTGGCTGCCGAGGGGACCGCCAGGGAAGCGACAACTGTTCCTGGCAGCGCCCGGGAGCTCAGCGCCCCTCTGGGACAGGCGCAGGGCCCACGCGGGGATCCGCTTATAGCTCCGCAGCGGGACAGCGTCCGGGTTTGGTACGCGGGCAAAGTTGGGACTTAAATAAAACCCCAACACACCCGCCCCTCTAAAACGCCAACACACCCTCTCCTCTAAAAACCCCAACACACCCGTCCCTCTGGAGCGGCGTCGGGCCGCAGGCTCCGCACACACGTGACGGGACCCCGGGCAGCGCACACCGCGGGAAGGGCAGCGCACACCGCGGGACCCCGGGCCGAAGCCGGCAGTCCGCACGGCTCCCTCACCCCGCCGCTCTGTCCCACGGCGGGCGGAGCGGAGCCGCCAGACCGCTCCTGTCTCCCGCTCCGGCCCGGCAGCGGAAAACCCCCGGCTCTCCCCTCCGTCCCGCACCGAACCGCCGGCTCTCCCCGCCGCCCCGCTCGAACCCCGCTCGGCCCGTACCTGCCGGCCCCGGTAACGCTCCCACGGGCCGCGCCGGGCGGCTCCGCTCCGCTCCAGGGCCGGGCCCCGCTGCCGCTCCCCGCCCACCGCCACCGCCGCCAATGGGCGCCCCGGGGCCGGGCTGGGCTGGCGGGGCTGGGACTACCCCCCAGGGCCGTGAGGGCGGCTGGCTGTGCCCCGCGGCTGCCTGTGTGCCCTATGCGCTTATGCCCCATGGGTGCGTGTGCCCCATGGCTCTTTGTGCCCTATAGCTGTGTATGCCTCATTCCTGTGTGCCCCATGTCTGTGCCCCATGGCTGTGTGTGTGCCCCATAGCTCTGTGTGCCCTGCTGCCCTCCCGCACCCTCCTGCACACTCCTCTTAGCCCCACAAGCACAGCTCAGCGTATTTAGTTTGCTGGCAGTTTTAAGTTTCCAGTTTGATCACCCCCTAATCACGGTATATTCCATCCAGCAGAAGGGTACACATGGATGGCATTGTATAAAGATTGTTTCAGTGATAAAGTACCCCCGGTGTTTTACAGTTAAGAAGAGGGATATAAATAGAACTACACATTACACTGGTCCAAAACAGAAACCAGACCTGCTCCCAAGCCTTGGATCACAGCTTCTCACCACTTCTGTGGTTACACTTACAGACATCTGTGTAGAGAATGCTCTATTAAGACCGAAATTGGCATTGCAGGGAAATCTTTTACGTTCCTCTCTCCCCTACATGACCCACCACAGGAGGGTGGTGGGCAGAGGCTGTGAGTGCCCCCAGCGCTGCTGAAGGTGCTGCAGGGCACCCGAGCTCTGGCCCTTGCCAGGTACAGTCACACAACCCCAGGCTTGGGCTGATCTATAATTCAGGTGCTTGCTCACTTTCTGTAATAGCTTTTCTATTTTTAATGGAAAGTGATGGACCTGTCAAGGTATTAGAAATATTTTTTTTCCCAGGTTTTCATTTTCTTTGGTAATAATAATATGGGCTGGGAAGCTCATGGTGCACTTTAGAGCTAAAGTGCTTGGCAATCATGGGAGTTTCCACAAGACCTTATTTCTTTACACTTTGAGGTTGTGTCAGATGAGCAGATAAATGAGGACACGGACTAAGTTCAGTGCCTAGCAGTGTATGAGGGGGGATTGCAGAGAGGGCCATCAGGTCACTGAGAAACCCCTGAAAACCTGGGAGAAAGCTCAGCGCAGAGGGGAGGCTGCTGGGCTGGACAGATTCAGGTTATCACTATATACATAGTGATATATAAGTTATATATATATATATATATATGTATATATCAGGGCTTTCCAGTCCTCCTCCCTTTTCTGTGGGACTGTTGCCTGTCAGTGCAAGGAGCATGGTCTGCCTTTGCAGACTGGTTCTCACACCTGGGAGCTGGTTTGTGTGGAGCTGCTAACTCTGAGGAGATCTGCCCAGCTTAGAAATTAATTCCCTACAGAATGCTGGGGGTTTTTAAACAAGGTCCAACTGTAAATATCTGTAAACTATAAATAGACAAAGCACTGAACTAAATATGCCAGAGTTTGTCTTAGCTGTCAGACTAATTCAGATCTAACCAGCCACAGATTATTACTCTGAAACTGGTTTTTTCCCTCCTGTATGCTAAAATTATTCTGAATTTGCTCTCATATGCTAATGAAACTATGCTAATAATAGTCTTTATTACTGAGATTTAATATTTTATTTTTCTTGTTGTTTCTCAGCATGCTCACCTGGACAACACATCAGCCAAACACAGCATTGGGCAGGCCAAACCACCTGGGATTTGGAGGTTTTTTGTTTCTCTTCAGTCAGAAGTGGAGGTGTGCTCAGACAAGTGTTGCACGAGGCAAGGGAAGCCCCAAAATCCACTTTGTGCTCACAGTCAGTGTTAAGCAGTTGCAATTGAGAGCTGACTTTCTGTTGGTATTTTGTTTGTTTGTTTTGGAAGCTCTTACACACTTGCTGGAATTCCTCACTGAGATGCAAACTGGGAGTTTCACCAGTAATCTTAAGAGTTATTTGAGAGGCAGGCTCAGGAGCTCTGTTTTTCCTGGCTGTAAACCCAAACATTTGTGGGACCACTTGAAAAAGCTGCAGCCCAAATTACCAGCTTTTAAAGCAACTAGAGCAAGGTGAAGAGACTTTATCTGATTGCCTCTGGCATTTTCTCCAAAGCCACTTGTTTCTCAGTAGCAGAAATATCTTGCCCAATTGGGATGCAATAATTTCAAAGCAAGTAAAGGAAACTGCAGCTGCTCAGCTGAGTCAGCCAAAGGTAAGCTCTGCAGGGGAGAAAATGTTTTTTTATTATCTTCTAGTGGCAAAATTACTACAACAGCCTGCAGGAAAAGATTAGATTATAATAGTAACAAAAACATCTGTTAAATTCTCAGCTCAGTGTATGTTTAGTGCTTGTTTGGAAAAGAAGGAAAAACAACCCAGGCATTTGATAAAATTCTTTTGACTAAAACTCAATATTTAGATTCAGTTTGGGATGTTAGGAACTCACTGTGATCATAGGATAGACAGTGATTTTAACTAATTGACTACATGGGGCATTTAATCAGTGGACAAGACAGCCTTTAGCAATGGAGATTTTACTGAATTGAGCTTGGCATACTGTGACCTAATGAAGGAGTAAGACAACTTGTGTTCATCATCCAGGTTACCTGTAGGGATGAGTGACCTCTGTCCTGAGTGAGGGTGTGGGGATGAATGTTTGTCTGATCTGGCTCCTGGGGGTTCAGCTAATCAGCCTCTTCAGAAATGTGTGACTTGCCATGAATGATTTGTGTCTCTGAGGCACTACCAGCTTCATCTGCTTGCTTCAGAAATGCCTGCCTCCAAGTCTGGCAGTGCAGAAGTCACATCCACGCTCAGGTCTGTCAGTACAGGCTGGAATTCAGGTGCTAGTTCCCAAATTCTCAGTGGTCCTCATGCCTGGAGGCTGCTGCCCAGCAAACCTCTTTCAGGGGCTGCTTGTGCCTCAGGGCATCTCTCAGCCCTGGTGCAGGAAATTACCCATTTCTTGAGAGGCTCTGGGAGCCTGGCTGCAAAATGATTGCACAAATGATGAAAGTATTCCTGAAAGCAACCTTTGCTTGCTGCTCTGCCCTTTGCATAAAGCAATGCTCAATCAACGTGCTTTTGTTTTTTACAGAGGCTCTGTGTGTGTGCAGCACTTCATCCTCAGGATCTTGAAGGGCGGCATAAATTCTAATAACTGTGAGGGTTTGTGCCCTTCTCACAGGGAGTTCCACTCTTGGAGAGTTCCATTTGGTCACAGGGTGCTTGGTCACTGACACAGAGCAGTGGGTGATTTGCTGTTGCCTTCAGCAGCAGCAGGCTCTGGCTCAGGGTGAATCACCCAGGGGCTGAGGAGCATCCCCCAGAGCTCCTGACTCACACCCCATGTGCCTCACCACAGGGCAGTGTCCCAGCTCACCAATCCCAGTGACCCTCACAAAAGCTCTTTGTAAAAGGATGAGAAAACCTCTCACATTTGCAGATTCTAAAGTTACAAGTTTGTCTTGGTGTTTGCTGCACCCTTCCCTGCTCAGACCTCAGCCCTGCTCCCTGCTCCATGAGTGCAGTGCTGTAGAGTTGGAACTTCAGGCTTGAATAACCAATAATGATCAATAATTTCTGAGTGGATTGGCTGTGATGAGTCTCCAGGCTGCACCCAAGAACTGCCCAGTGCAGGAACTCCCAAGAGGGGAAGCTCAGAAGTTTGAGCTCTCCTGATTTGCAGGAGGGGTGAGCACACACTGAGGAACAAGTGTGGGGGCACACACTGAGGAGCCCTGACATGCCTGCAGCCCCTGCTCTGAGCAGTGTTCCCCATAGTGGGAACAGGTTGGAGTTGGAATACAAAAGGTGAAGGTGAGGAAAAGCTGAGGTAAGAGAATATAAAACATCAGGACTGTGAGAAGGTGCAGGTGTTCAGTGCAGACAAGGATATAATGTTAGAACAAAATGTATGAAATTAATGTGGGAAAAAGAGGGGTGTCCAGAAAAGTTCCTGAATGCATTTTTCAGCATGCTGAGAGAAAGCTGCACCTTCTGAGCCCAGCCTTCCTTGCAGAAGGGACCATTCTGGGCACGTTCTTCTGAGCCCTTTTCCTACTGCTGCTGTTCTGTCTGAACAGTGATCTCCTATTCAGTGTGCCTTTATTGCACAAGATAAATCATGGTGAACAAATAACTGGTGAGCAAGTGTTTCAAAGACTAAACTGAGGTAGATTAGCCATTTCAAATATTGAAATAGGGAAAAAGTGTGGGGAACAGAGTGTGATAATCACTGGCTAATGCAAAAAGATGTAAATGACTGATTGACTGATTAGTCAAAGACAAATAAAAGAGTGTCATTCCTGAACCCTGCTTTGCCTATGGATATAGCTTCTATTTATGTGAAGAAGATGCTTTGGTCTCTTTCCTTTGTAACTGCTACCCAGGCTGAATGTGTGCATTGCTCAGGAAGGAGAAACCCTCTCTTTGTAAGGGACCTTGCCCCACATCAGTGTC